GAGATTTGACGGAGACTAGTTTACATTCTAATAGCACACATCGTTCCTAGTAGTACGGCCAGGAGCTCCTAGTAGCTTCTTGTTCCTAGTAGTAAGGCCAGGAGCTCCTAGTAGCGTCCTTGCTCCTTCAAGAATGTATGAAGCTAAATGAAGGCAACAGCACGAACACAGCAACCAGAGCTCATTTTTGGATCAAGATTGAATGCCTTTTCAATGCCTAGATGCACCGATTATATAGAGCCATCACCACCAAGGTCTTCAAAGCCCACCGCCAATCCGAGGAAAGCAGAAGCACCCACAGGAAGTTGGCAACAAAGTGCTCAGGGACAAAAGATGAAGAAAGTTCGTGAGGCTTTGCCAGCCTTTAAGGTGACCCAGCTGCGCTCAGCACATGTCCAGATTTGTGCACCGACACTTGTGTTGAGGGAGGGTGTTTTTTTGGAGCCGGTGGACGTTGGGTGTTCCTAACTTGGCAATTGATTGCCTTCCGTGTATCTGGATAGCGTTGGCCATTGGGAAGCCTGAATGCACAACCTGGCAATTGAACAGAATATGTGCGAAGTGCTTGCTGGCCAACGGAACTGGAGAATGAGGGTGCAAAAAGAACGGCAGCGACCACTCCTAGATCACTTTAGAACCATTGAGCACGTTGCATGAACAACATGGTCACCAGTTGTGAATGAAGGGTGGCAGTTGGATTTACATCTTGCTCAGCTGCCCCATCTCACGTCTCATTCTGCTTCAAGAAAGTCCTATAGCTTGTTAGATTGGTTCCCCATATTCTTGCTCACAAGGACTATGCCACTATGTTTATGAATGCTCTCGAAGAGGAATGTGTGACATGCAGCAAGGTAAGAGAACATATTCAGACATGATTGCATCACCAGTCTGGAAAATTACTTGGAGAGTAATTAAGGAGCTCTTCAAGTCTTGATGATTGACCAACTATAAATAAACGTGGCTGAGGTGAAGGATGAGCTGAGCAAGCTGTTAGCATCAGATCAGGTGGGCGAGTGGTTGCGAACACTCCAAACGCAAGAGAATGATGTTAGATTAAACATGTTTTTTAAAATCCGAGTTTTCATCTTCAGTGTGGTCACCTTGCATTGACCGTCGCCAGTTGAGCCTTCAGGTAGTGCTGGTCCACGGGGAGACGGGCAGTGGCAAGACCACCCAGATCGGTCAATTCCTCGTGGAAGCCGCCGGTGGTGCACGAGTGGCCGGGGGAACCCAGGGCCTTCGAAGACTGGTCGAAGTAGCCCAACTACTGGTGTGTGTGTGTGAGGGGCAGGGAGGGAGAGAGAGTGTCGTTGGAGCAAAAAGGACTGTATAGTTAGTCAGAGTCATATTCATTTCGCATTGTTGTTGCCGATTTCACTCCACAGTCATTCTCGACCATCCTCCACTATACATGCATCTCGACCAGAGCTCATGTGTTCAAAAAAACCATTTCCAAACATCACCTTCCTCCAAAACCTTTGAAGGTGATGCAACTAGCTTGAACCTGCTAAAACAACTCCTTCAACCTCCTCATCCCACCAGTGGTCTTTTTCCTCCTGACCTCTGCCTTTGTTGCCTTTGCCACCACGAGGTCGTCACCCAGCCCCGCCGCTTCGCGGCGCTCAGCGTGGCACGCCGCGTGGCGGAGGAGCGCGGCGAAGAGCTGGGGCAGAACGCCGTGGGGTGCGCCGAAGCGGCGTCCGACGACGACCAGTCTACCTGTTGGGAAGAGCTCTGAAGAATTAAAATTGCCACAGACCTGAGAGCAAGGTACATGGTCCGTGGTGAGACCAAGATGCACCCTGCGCGCTGCCAACTCCTCTTCTGCACCTTGGGCGTGTTGCTGCGGCGGCTGATCGCCCAGGGGAGTGAGGAGATGTTCAGCTCCAATGATATGACGCATCTGGTGCTGGATGAGGCGATCGAGACCGGGCACAAAAGGAAGGAATGGGAACATGCCCAAAAATGAGTGGAGGGAAGTAGGATGAAGTCGGTTCGATGATGAGCTATAGTTGAAATATAGCAGCAAGACTGATCGTAGAACCTCAGGGCCCCTGGTTCCTTCTTGAATGGACAGTTGTAAAAAAGGGGCTTTGTCCACAGGTCCATGAACGAAGTATGGACATGGACTTCGTCCTCACGCTGCTGCGGCATGCCTTGCCCTCGCGACCCAAGCTCAAGGCGTGACCGGCATCCACTGACCTTTGTGCCAGGAGCGATCGGACGCTACTAGGGGCTCCTGGCATCGCTACTAGGAACAAGGGCCTTACTACTAGGAACAAGAAGCTAGTAGAAACAAATATATATATTATATATAAATAGAATGTAATTATCAGTGAAATCCAGTCAAAACCACGTCGCAAGCTTCTCCGAAAGCCGGACCCACCCAGGTACCCAAGAGTCACTCGGTAGCACGCCGTGGTTCAGAGATCCACATGGAACCCGAAAACCACCTCGGTTCCTAGAGGAAAATCGTCTTCCAAATGGTGCCAGCTTCTTCCAACTCCATGTGGATCTCTTCCCGGATGTCCCAGTCGTCGGCAGGTCTTGCTGATGAGCGCCACCATGGACATCCAAAGTTTGGGCCAACTCTTCCCCAAAACCCCGCCCGTGTTGAAGATCCCCGGGCACCTCGGCATGTCGGAAACGGGTGGGAACGTTGTGCTTCGAAAAGGGGGCACGAGCAATCCTTCAAAGCCCGTTGCAAAAATGCATCTCCCCGGCTCTCATCAAGGGTCAATCGGAGGGACCCAGTGTCATTTGACAAGCTCTTTTTGTCTAACCAGGCCGACGCTTCTCATGAAAAAGCCATCGAACACTGTAAACGATCCTGGTTTTCCAGGAAAGGGATGTCGGTGGGAGATATATATATATATATATAGATCCCCAATGGTGACGATGTGACGCGACGTATGCTTCTTTGAAAACCTTGGTTTTTGACAGTTGCAATGGATTTACTACCTAACGGGTGTAGCTCGGGGCGGCTTTGCAAAGCACATGGCCGTTCCATGCTTTGGACCTCACCCAAATGGCCCAGGCGCACCTTCCCGGTGGATGTGCTTCATTTGGAGGATGTGGAGGCGTGGGATTGGACCGATACCCGAGACTCGACCCGACTGCTGTTTCGGAGCCATGGTCTTAGCTAGACTTGCTCCATCCCAAGTCCAATTGCCATCAGGAGTCAAAAACTTCGGAGAGGTACTCCGGGGCTTAGGCTTCGGAACCTTACCATGTTCACTCCACTCACTACACTTCACCACTGTCAACAACATATAATGACCATCAGGAACTGACCGGAGCCGCCCTTGGCGCCCTCGTCCACCTGGCCCGCGCCAGCGCCGCGAGGACCTGCTGGGCTCCACGATGCCTTGGAGCTCAGCTGCTCCCCGCGACGGGGCGGCGACGTTGCAGCCGGCGGCCATGAATTATGAGGTGGGACGGTCCGAGGAATCCGTCACAAAGGGGCCTAGACGACGTCGACGACGTAGACGACGTAGACCACCCAAATGAACCTAGACGACGTCCTTCGACCCTTGATATATCTTGGATGAGTTGCTAGTTGCTAGCTGCAGCTGTTTACATGTGAGGTGGGAGGCCTAAACTAGTGGGAGTTATTCCACTCAGGTTCTGATGAAGGGAAGAATGACTGAGATTCTGGGCTGCTGTATTCCAAGGCCTACTTCAGCATAGATTTCAGCATACTTCAGCCATGTGTCCCAGATCTTCTCAGAACACTTTGTATAATATATATAGAGGGAGAGAGAGAGAGAGAGAAGTCAATATGCACTTTAAATAGCATTTGTTCGACATGATGTGTTATGGGGCAGAAGACCTGCCAGGTGTTAGCGGACTTCGTGACGAAGCTGGCGGATGGCACCTTGCAGGTGACCGTCGGCCACGCATGAACATACAGCTGGTGGCCCATTGAACATACAAACCCATTGAACAATAGATTTTTAGAGGTGTTTACATGCAAAAACGTGTCAAACACCATGTTTTTGCAGACAGAAGAAAACAACCTAAAAACTTGGATGGTTTGTGGGGCTCCTGGTGCTGTATAGGTTGCTGTTCTTCTTGTGTGTGGCGGGCAAACGCGCGCGGTCACCGACCACCGTTGCGAAGAGGAACGCCGGTGTGGCGTTTTGGGACCATTGGAAGGCCCAGAACCCGGATGTTTTGACCTCATGAAACCATCCAAAGCAAGCAGGAGGCATCCATATAAGGTGAGTTGCAACCCCTTCAGTTGCTTTTAGACTGCTTTATCCCTACCAATCCCCACCGGCCCCACCCCACCACCGGTCCCCGATGCGACCCATGACGGCAGGGCGCGGACGCTTCGTGGCCGACGCACGGAGCGATTCTGGTCTTCATGCCCGGCGCGGGCGAAATCTCCCGACACTTGGAGGAAGGAATGGGAGGGAGACCCCACCGGTTTGGACGGTTTGGATTCTGGATGGGTGGTTTCGTTTGTGTCCGTTGGTTGGGGTCCCAGGAGCATCCCAACACCCATGTGGTTTCTTGAGGTTTCTTGTGCTTTCTCCTTTGTGCCCGGCATCAATAGGGTGGAACTCGACTTGACCCAACCTGCGATGGCGGTTTGTTTTTGTCCAACTTCATTTGTGTCATCAGTTAACCATGACACACTTAAACTTACACCAGCGTATTTATCCTAGAGTTCTAGAATCCTCCGCCCTCGAAGGTCTCATCAACGCCTTAGCCCGCCGCAGCTCCGCTTTCAAAGCGCTGCCGCTGCACGGCGCACTCTCAGGCACCCAAAAGCGCTCTTGGCACCCTGGAAAGGTAGGACCATGTAGGACCACGAGACAGCACATACAGCCGAGACAGCGCCGCAAGTGGCGGAACGTGACAGGTGTTTTGGGCAACAGCTGATCCAGAGACATGACGAGACATTGGAGACTCAACCAACAGCTGATCCAGCTGACCCTTTGCAAACCACCACAGAAGTTCAATAGCACACCAGACTACGTAGGTCGTCACAGCAACGTCAATGCAAACCCCAACAAATTGTGAGTTCCGCACGGAAAGGTCTTGCACAATTCATCCAACCAAAAACTTCATCCGAAAGCCTATGTCCATTCTCCAACTAGGAGCAAAGGACGCTACGAACGGGGCTCCTGGCCTTACTACTAGGAACAAGAAGCTATTAGGGGCTCCTGGCCTCGCTACGAACGGAGCAAGGATGCTACGAACGGGGCTCCTCTCCGAAGCGACGGCGAAGTCCACGCCACCGGCCACGCAGGCGAACAGCAGCGCCGATGCTTCGAAACCTTTCAGGTGCGCAAGGTCATTGCGCCTTGGATGAAAGCTCATGGCACGAGCGCCGGTCAAACGTCTTGAAAGATCATGTGCTGCCGTGCCGACAGCATGTGGAAACCTCCAAAACCATCCCCGTCGGCTGATGAAATGGAAGTCAGATGCAGTGCATAAGTGAGCATTTTGGAGCATTCCTCCCAGTGTTCAAAAAGCAAAGGACCCAGCACCAACGGCTCAACCAAAGGACGACACACGCGTTCTGGGGTCCTTCTGCCCCAGGTGGCCACCAACGTGGCGGAAACCTCGGTGACGCTGTCCGGACCTTGGAGCGCTGTGAAGTCGGCAACCCATGAGTTTCTGGAAAAACGTGGAATGGCAAGGAGGATGGCAATTGGATGATTGTTGAGGATTATGAGACCAAGTGTTGTTTTCTTTCATTGAATTTCAAGAGCGATGTGCAAACGCGATGCGATGTTGCTCGTGCGTGGTTTTCCTGTCCTGGTCTCACCAGGCCTGACGTCACGATCGCTCCTGAGCTGCAACCAACGCGTTCGCCGCGACGGACGAGCGCAGCGCGGAAGACAGGCGTGCGATGGCGTGCGCCGCCCGAGGTCATTGACACCTGCAGGGAGCGGCGGCTCACGCGGGAACACGGCCACAGCTCCTTGGCGCCGGCCTTGTTGGAACGCTTTTGCGCTAAGGACGGCTGGACGGCTGGGCAGATGCCGGGGCTGCGGCGCAACGCATGCGTGATCGTTTGGGAGTTTGATCAAACCGATGAAGCAAAAAGCACCTCACTTTGGGGAACAGAACTAACTATGTCACATAATTAGGCCCGAAAATGGCGGAGGCGGAAACGTGTCGCCTCAAGCGTGCCAGCAAAAAAGGGTCGCTGGCACACCAACACCGAAACAGTCCGAAACACGTGCCCTCCCTCGGTGTGGGCCGCCCAGGGGCCGTGTCTTGGCGCCTTCGTTGCGAGGATTCCTTGCAGCAACGCAGGGGCAGAGCTGGCCGGGTGCAGAAGGGCGTGTGCTTCCGCTTGGTGCCACGTGGATTGGGCGGCATTTGGTTTTTTGTGGGTAGCTGAGTGCACGAAAACTATAAGCACGGGGTGGCTCTAAGACACCCCATGGCTGGTTCTGTGTTGCCAAGATCGGCTCAGAGCTGTGCAAAACCAGAGATGCGCCGTGGTGTCAAGTGCGTTTCCATAGAAGCGAAGCCAACGGGCGACACAGCGAGAGTGAAATATTCGGGAAGATTTGATTGGAGGACACATCAAAAGCATTCAAAGGCAACTTGTGCTTTGCGCATGCCAACGCATGGCCAAGGCAAAGCATATGCATCTTGTCAGCACTCTGACGTTTCACAGGCACCGAATGAATTAGCCCAGCCAGGGCCCCTGTGGTGGTCCCAATGCAGCAGAGTTGGCCATCTTCACCTGAACAAACATGTGTAGGGTTTCTACCCAAGACCAAGGTCTTTGACCGGGATGGATATAACTAAAAAATGCAACAACAATGCCCATGATTTAGGGGTTGTTTTTCCTTTGAGCAGCTCGCAGTGACTCTGCAGATCGAGTTGCGGTTGCACACCATCATAGACCAAAGCTCCAGCGCACCACGTGCAGCGGAGCGCTCCCAAGAGGATTCACTAACGAATTGTCTATATCACGAAAGGTCGCCTGGTAAGGGCTAGCTGACAGTCTAAGCTAGCTCAGCAAAGGGGTTAGCGTAGTTTCATAGCCTGCTCTCTACCTTTCGTGTTTCCCTGTCTCAAGTCTATGAATTTGGAGCTGTTTGGGAATTTCGGATGGTCCATGCTGACCCTGCGCTCTGAAAAGGACAAGCTGCCGGAGGCCACCGCTGCAGAGATCGAAGCATTGCCCCTGGAGACCTTGGTCCTCCAGGCCAAGCGCTCCGCCAAAAGCGCTGAACGTGGTGCACCTCGAAGGTTTGTCCAACGAACAACCAGAAAACAATGCACGATCATTCGATACCCTGCGCTCTTGTCAATTCAATACTAGGGGCTCCTGGCCTTACTACTAGGAGCAAGAACGCTACAAACGGGGTTCCTGGCCGTATGGGACTCCTAGGAGCTACTAGGAGCACTCCATTTCATGGGACTCCAGGTCCGCTGGTGTTCTTCGCCTCTCCAGGTCCGCGCCGCGGGCTACGCGCCGGAGGCGTTTCTGGCGAAGGCGCCGACGCCGCCGGAGGCCTGGCAGGTGCGACAAGCGGAGCTGGAGCTGCGGCAGATTGGCGCGGCTTGGAGAGAAGAAAGCCGAAAACGGCGGAACCAGAAGCTGGAGAAGAAGAAGTCCAAAAGGATCTCCAAAAAGGATGACTTCCCTACTAGTAGCAGGTGCATGGCTGTTGACAATCCTACTAGATGTCCAATAAATATCCTGTTGACAATCCTTTGGACAGTTGACGTCCTCGATGGTTCTGAGCACCAATTCTCCTTCGGTTCTCTCCTTCGGTCACCTGGTCCGTTCTTTGCTCGCCCATGATTCCGGCGTTTAGTCTGTGAAGGTTCATTCGTGGCCCTAATCTGTTGAAGATACAAGGACCACCTCCGCTGATGCCCTTAAGAAAGCGCTAAAATCGTTCTAAGAAAGCGCCACTTGTGCACAAGGTATTGACACCGAAGCATCGATCCAACAGGAAATGTCTTTGGACCGATGTCATACACCCGTCATGCATCCGCCCTGAGGCTTTGAAGCAGGAAGAGGAGTCAGGAAAGAATGGAAGAGGGGTCGGTCTTGGAAGTTTCAGGGAGGCTACTAGGAACAAGAACGCTACTAGAAACAAGTGCATCGCTTCTAGTAACAAGTGCCTTACTAGTAGTAACAAGGTTTGCCATTAGGAACAAGAATTAAATTAGGAACGATCGGACGCTACGATCGGGGCTCCTGGCCTCGCTACTAGGAACAAGGGCGCGTCCTACGATGTCCTACCTACGACCTACGTCCTACTATGTTCAAATTGAGGAGGGACGTGGCCTCTGTCCAAAACTATGGTAGTGAATAGTAATTAGGTTGGAGACCATCGCTATTAGAAGCAAGGAAAAAGAAGAAAGGGAAGAAAGGCCTAATGTAGTTTGATAAGTACTTTGATATAGTTTGCCATTGAGTGAAACAAACACGGCCTTTTGGGGCCTCCCCTGCTCCAAAGCTCCACGGTTGATCCCGTTCAGAGTCGGGAGTCGATCCACGAAGCAACACCAAAATAGCTTCTTGTTCCTAATAGCTTCTTGTTACTACTAGTAAGGCACTTGTTACTAGTAGCG